AATTTGAATTTCAAGATAAAGTAACCTGAACGACTCGAAACATGTTTCTTATAGGTTTTCGACAATGCTCTTTCCAGTGGCATCGTTTTTAAATATTGAGAAAGTTTTCTGAAGGGTTTTCGAAAGACCGGATCTCTGGAAAACTCCTTAGAAAACTTTTTCAAAGCCCAACTCTCATGCCATGAGAAAGAGGATCATGAAAAACCTATAAAAAAATGGTTCATGAAATTTTAGTTCACTCATAAAGCTAAAGTCCGCCTGCTCTAGCAAAAAATGGCCATTGTGTACTGTACATTATAGAAAACTTGACATTAAGTTTTTGAACTGAAAAAGTGCGTGAAGAAAACTGTTACTGTTCAATCAGTTGTTATTCATTCAATTTGACATTCTAGATAAAAAGCTAATAAGCACTAGAATAATGATACCAAATAAATTCATATTAATTACGGATGATGTTGATTTTATTGTACAATCAACATTATCATTAGCACAATCATCAAATGCCACTTCAAATCTGTTTTGTTCTTCTAATCCTTTAACGCCAATATAAACAAATTCTGTATCATTTGACGGCTTATCCAATATTAATGTCACTTCATCTTCATCCGTACGCATTATACCCTGTTTTGACTCAAATACGTGTACACCAATATCATTAAAATAATGTTTTGCCCATATCGAACTAGTAAGTGTAGCTGATGTTTTTGATTTATCATTTGAATAAGTGTCAAAGTCAGATGGATCTTTTGGATTTCGAGCATTAAATGAATAAAATAATTTAACTTTTCCATTAAAAAGTTTCACGGTTATCAATATTTTATTACCAACAACTTTAATACTAACTTCAAAAAATTTATACTTGTCTTTCGCACATTCTCCAATAACTGTTGAATTTTCGACCACACTAATCGGTTCAGTACATGTTTTCGACATAAACTGACTCAATTTTTGTTCCAAACCAGCGTAATTCGTGATAGGTAGGTAATTCTCAGACCACGGTGGCGTACAAATACCCTGCACTTCAGTAAGATCGACATTATTACCTACTCCCACAGTAAATATATGAATATCTCGTTGTTTCAAAACATTGGCTTCTTGTATTGGCTTTAGAACACCATTACTCTGTCCATCTGTAATAAGAAATATAACTTTTGGTGCGCCATCTTCAGTTGGTCGAAGTCCAGTATTATTTGAAAATACACGATTTGCTTCTCGAAGTGCTTCACCTGTAAATGTATTTTCTCCAAAGTATGCAGCATTATCAACTCTACTTAATTTTTCGTCTAGTGTATAATATTGATTAAGCAATGATAAAGTTTGTAGACGAGTTGAATAATTAATAATGGCAACATGAGTCTTATTTGGTCCGACATTGACACGTCGAAGTATGTCTTTAGTAAAAGAACGCTGAAGTTCATAATTTATTGCACCGATACTACCCGACGCATCCAAAATAAAACCAAGATCCAATTTAATTTCTGCTGTACATTGACCAAGACAACATCGGATATGTGGTGGACTGTTTGGACATCTCTCACCTTTCCCATCGCACCCACAATATTCAGCATCTTCTAGTCCTGGAATGCAATCCGCATAACAATTACCTAAATGGGTACTGTTGTACTGACACTCTGGTCCTTGTCCAGTGTGCAATGAACTACACTCTATCTGACGGAGAACTTTTGCATATTGTTTCGCAGCATCCGCAAGTCCATCAATACCATCAGTCAACAAATACCTTTAGTCATAAAAGATGGTTTCTAAGTGCCATTACAATAATTATTACTGATATAAACTTACCATAACATTGAAAATCCATACATCGTACCATCGGCAAGCTTTGTCATATTCGATGTCCATTTCGTCGTGGCGATCTTTATGGCTTTATCGGGCATAGCTGCTTTCTCTGGACTTTCGATGATTTCTGAATCTAATAATGATTCGTACATTGATTGGTACATTCTACGTCCTCTAATACCAAAGTAACCACGTCGTCGAAATCGTCCACCATCACCCGGTCCTGTATTACCATATTTGTTGTCATCAACTGAAAACTGTGCATCTGTACCCACGGCTTCATCTGTGGTAAACTGGTTGGTCATAGTGGCTGCTATGGCCAAAAATGCTGCTTTTGCAGCACAATTTTGACAAATATTGATATCATTCAATGCTTTATTTAAATATCGATGAATGTATTGTATTCGAGTAGTTCTATTATACAAGTTATTGAAATCGGTTATTGAAATACATACTTGTGATGGACTTGGTAATGATTCACGTCGAACACAACACGAATTTTCATTAGGACAACCAACAGACAATAAAGCTCCTTCACACAAACTTTTAAGAGAACAATTACCCTTTATACTTGAGTCATATTTGGCTTCACACGATGTTTGGCTAAGTGCAGAACTTAGACAAGTGAGCAACGTCAGCAGCAATAAAAGAAACTTCATTGCAACAGATATCGTTCAAAACAAATGGCGAACTTATTGTTTCTCCATACTCAACACTTATATATATACCTTTTCTTCAGTCGCCTACAAACGATACTAATATTTGTCAAGAGTTTATGATATATTTGGCTGTGTAATTTTCAACTTTATCTGCGTATAAGACGCCTGATATCGGAGTAGGAGGGGAACATAGGAATGAAGCACAATTATATCTTTATTCATTGATAAGTAATCTCTCATATTGACATAGAAATTGAAAGGTAAAGTTTATTGTTTTTCAGTGCATTCAAGACGTAAGTAACCCTGAAAGTTTTAGGAGAAAAATCAGATTATCAGACGAGAATGGATAAAAAAAGAGCTCTTAACTACTTAAATTACTTTTAAAAAATTATAATTTACTAGGAAGCGTACAGTGGACAGAAAATAGGGGTCAGGAGCAATCCACAAAGCCACAAGCTACTAACTTGGTGTAATGTGTAGGGATAGTCCACATTTAATCCGGATCACCTGAGCTTGTTTCACACCGCTTGCTCGTAACGCTCTTGTAGTAGGATATTTAACCTTTATCCTTAACTATCTGCTAGCTTAATTGAGATAACCATTTTAGTCTCCTGGCATTAAATAACTCTATTTACTAACTATCTACAGTATAAATTCTACATCTTTATCCACCAAATAGAACAATAATGAACCCTATCTAATAGTAGAATAACATTCGATAACAACATTGAGCGTAATTGCGCAAAAATTTTGCAGGGATTGTCACTAATTCTTTACTGGTTATTGAAAGCATTCTATTTTGCAAGAAGATCGAGAAGCTCCTAAGAGGTTTAGTATATAGCAGACATCGAACGCTTTTTAATTGTGTAACAACCGATGATTACGACTATATCCTAAATTTAAAATTTTACTTTTTGTTTAGATGATGCTATTAGTAACCCTCATTTCATTTTTATTGGTGTATAAGAAAGATAAACTTTAGGAGAGAACGAACAGTATGGTTTAAAGTAGAATCGTGTAGCCTATCATACTAAATATTATTTCAGTCCAAATGCTGAAACTCAACTTTGTCGCTTGGCTGTCCATTGGGAGGCGGGAGGGAAACTGAATACATATTATTCGCACTACCTGCAATACTTAAGCTAAGACGTACTGCCGAAGAGGCGAGACAGATTACACTTTAGAGCCAAATACTTTACCGTAACAAAAGTTATCTCATGTAAGTGTAATGGACTAATCTCTGTAATAGGGCTCTTCTTATATAGTTTTCTCCGATTCTTTCATCATGATATACGTTGTTCACTGTTCTTGCCTGCTAACATATCTAGAGAAGTGTTCAGACAAATAATCAGTTTGCTTCATCTGTCTCCGTAGCTAACTACATTATTTAGACGTTGTAGATACAGCATAAAAAAATAAAAACCATCCAAATACTATATGATATAAGCAGGCATGCATCGAATAATTCACTAAGGATTTTATATTTTTTCAAAGCTCGGGCGTTTCGTAAGCTGCTCCGTTAAGAATTCCTCTATAAAATAAGAGGTTGGACAGCTCTGCATGATTTATTTTAAGATTTTGGTAGCAATACCTCAAGAACATATAATCGAGTAGTAAACGAGTATTACGAGTACTCGGTTAGCCCTTTATGGGATATCGCTGCCGAAATCTCAAAACAAATCATACAGAGTTGTCCAACCTCTCATTTTATAGAGAAATGTATGCTCTATATTCTTACCTAGTCAGAAAAGTTTTAGCGAAGCAATTTACGAAACGCCAGATTTTTGAAAAAATATAAAATCCTTAGTCAATTACTCGATACATGCCTAGATATGAAAGACATGTAATCAAATTCAAGTAAACGAATAATACTTGAAATGTAAGATTCATTTGCTTGATACGCTCGATCAAACGACAACATCATCATGTTTGATACGACGTGTTACGATAATGGTCGTTGACAAACGTTGATAGCACAGTAAAGAAACTTTGGAAGCTGAGAACGAATGTATCATTTGTTGATTTCATGTAGAACTACTCCAGATACTTCATCACTCGCGATTGTAGACAAGAATTGTCAAAACAGGTGTCTGTGAAATATTTCCAGCGTAATCCTTCTTTCCAATAAACCTCACTTTCATGTACATACATAAAACAAGCGAAATGTCCCTCAATTGTAGAAAAACATTGCATATCTTACTTCTAGTTCCTACGAACAGTAATATCCATCTTATAACTTTAATCGATATTGGCATGCATTTAATGGAAATAGAATTTCAGATTTTTCACAACAAAATCAAGGTACAGCAATCATCAAAACTAGAGTACTAATTAAAATACTAATTCTACATGGAAAAACGGCACCATTATATTGAAACACTATTTTTAATTTAACTAAAGCTTTTTATTAATCACATGTAACGTTCATCTTCAACTCCCTTGATGCTTTGACGTTCGTGTTAACTCATACGTGGCATAATTACGGAGGTTTCTTTTTCACGTGCTTTTGAAATGTTTCATTGAACGGTACTTCGCAAAGGGTTTCAAAAAAACACACATGCGAAAGTGCCTTCTACCACATCATTGGGAAACTGAACTGAATAAAAGGCACTACAAATAGGATCTGCGCCACACCATTTTTCTGAGTAGCATTTAGAACACCAGTCTGAAACATTCCATAAAAGAAATCCGGGTACGTCACAGAACAGGCCCTAAAGTTTACTTCAAAGTTGAACAAATCCGACTAAGTCAAATTCTGCCAAACAAAGCTTAACCCTCATGTTACAGTTGCGTATTTCCGATTTACCCATCCGTCTGATCTTCACCTTAATAAGGTTGTTGTTACATTTTAGTGTGTCAGCGACTGTTGTTCTAACATTAATAGATGATGACATTGACTCCTTTATATATACACGGTTGGAAATAATATTTTTCCAGGGGGTAGAGCTGAAACTACAAAATGATATAAAAATTTATTATATACCAAATTAATGTTCATCTAAAATGGAATTGATGTGTACGACTGATATTCTGTATGACGATTATTGGCTGTAGAACTATGGAAGTTTCTATCGAATGCGTCATAATGATTAAATTCTGGGTGTAGCAGTGCTTTGAATAAAAGTCCCGTAACTTCAACAAAACAAACGCTTTTTCGATCGGGTTTGTTTTGTTTTGATCAGGAATGATTGCTTTTCTATTACTAATTCTGAAATCAAAACATCGATCAGATTTTTCATTTCTTACTTCGGCACATTGCTGAAAATGAAGAAAAATTTTTAAAACTTAGTTCTCCAGCCCATCATCTGCTCTAAAAAACATTTTTCACAGGCCAGAGGAAACAGCATGTTCAGAAGTACAAAAAGAACTGAGTTCTCACTTTTGCTACACTCTTTTGCGTGAATAAAAAAGTCAAGTCGAAAAAATACCAACTATACAAAATTTTCATTTTTTTCGCCTTTCGTATAATTTACGTAGTTTCCTTGATTAAAGTTCTAAAATTAAAGTTTAGGTATGGTTTTGTAGAATATTTCGTGGCGCATCTTTTAAAA